GAGGTGATGGAGATTCCTGGGCAACATCACCAACAGCAACAACAACAGACAGCAATCAGCATAAATGGAAGGAACCTGAAAGAAACTACCCCCTTCACCTACCTGGGAAGCATCGTTTCAACTACAGGCCGACGGAGCTGACGAGGATATCAAAGCAAGAATCGGAAAAGCAAGACAAGCTTTCATTACTCTCAAGTCTGTGTGGAGTTCAACAGTATTCAGCGTCAAAAATAAGATCGGGATTTTCAACTCCAATGTGAAGTCAGTACTACTATACGGATCAGAGACTTGGCGTGTCACAAAGAGCACCTCAAACAAGCTACAGACATTCATTAACAGATGTCTTCGCTCAATACTCAAGATCAGATGGCCGGAAAGGATCAGAAACAAAGATCTCTGGGAGCGAACCAACCACGAACCGATTGTGAAACAAATAGGCAGGAAGAAATGGAGATGGATTGGCCACACTCTGAGGAAACCAGCAAGTGACATCACTAGACAAGCCATCGCTGGAGTGGAACCCGAAAGGGAAGCGACGAGTTGGTCGTCCAAGGGTGTTCTGGAGGATATCATGTGAAGAGGAGATGAAAGCATGTGGGCAGACCTGGAGCCAGGTGAAAACTCTAGCAGAGAACCGAACGCAATGGAGACGCATGGCTGAAGCCCTATGTTCCTCTAGGAACTAAAGGAAATAATAATAATAAAAGCGTGCAATATACGATTGTAGAGCTTGATAATAAATTCGTTTGTGGTTTTTCAGAAACGAACCATTTAAATGGAAAATTTTATTTAAATATTAGACTTTACTTCTCTGACGTTTTAGCACAGGGACAATTTCACTTACGTCAGTCTGGTCGATAACACGTAGAATATACTATAGCTATGTGAACCATTTTGACGTTGAGCTGAGTTTTCGAATATTAGTGTTACTTCACGAAGCTTTCTTTCTAAAAAGATAGACACTAATTACATCAGAGAGAGACGTTAGTTCTAGAAATTCTTTCAGGTATGATTTATTTCCTTTTGAAGTTTTCCTTGGATATGGAGGATTATCTCAGTAGTTGTATTTTCACTGTTGGCATATGGATTTGTGTAAATGTCCGGAAGGTTTGAATTCCAGCCTCATTAATATTTCTTCTGGCTTTTACTGGTTATGATAATAACAATAGACGCACACTGGCTGACGATTTACCTAAAATGTATATTGGCTTTTTCTTTTTCATTTATCTGAAATTTGTAAATTTCACCAGACTCCATGCGCATATGTGTCAACACAATCGAATTCGTGTTATGACACTAATGGGGTGGTTAGTACTCAAGCAAATAAAGCTATAGTTGGCTTTGTTTTGATGGATGTTGTATTTTTGAAAGTCTCCATATGTTTATCAAGCCTTACTGGACTTATCTTACTTAACCACAGCACACCTAGATCGGATTCATACCAGTTAAAAAGCATATCGCAAGTTATAGAGTGTCAAAAGTTACAGAAGATATTGTCAGTTCAGTTCCCAAAATTTCATTCTTGGAAAAACGACTTTTCTTTGTTAGCTTCTTGAAGTCATTATTATATTATGATCTATTATTTTATTCCTTTACGTTCCAAGTGGCACAGAGGCCTTCAAGCTAGAGGCTTGAAATTTCGGTGGTAGTAGTGTTTTCAAGTGTTGGTTTGTAGGGATTTGATTGGTTACAGGATTTCATCATGAGCTGACATCAGTTAGAGAACCATTGGAAAACCAGGGAGTACTGGACAGCTGTTTCGTCCTAGTTTGGGACTCTTCAGCAGTACGCACCCACCGGGATTCGAAGACATTGGCTAGGGGTCGCGCTATGTCGTGAATTGGCAAAAGTTAGAATTCATGGACCATTGGATCGGGTCCCAGTGGCTTAATGGTATACGAGCTCGCCTTGTAACCAGAAGGTCCTGGGTTCGAATCCCGGTGGGTGCGTACTGCTGAAGAGTCCCAAACTAGGACGAAACAGCTGTCCAGTACTCCCTGGTTTTCCAATGGTTCTCTAACTGATGTCAGCTCATGATGAAATCCTGTAACCAATCAAATCCCTACAAACCAACACTTGAAAATCAATGAGATGCTCACTAGCGACTTGCCCTATTCAGGTGGGTAGTCACCTGGGGTTCTAGTGAGAAGTCGTGACCAGTAGGGTGCAGCAGGTCGGGCGTGAGGACAAATACTCGCCGAAGACATTGGCTAGGGGTCGCGCTATGTCGTGAATTGGCAAAAGTTAGAATTCATGGACCATTGGATCGGGTCCCAGTGGCTTAATGGTATACGAGCTCGCCTTGTAACCAGAAGGTCCTGGGTTCGAATCCCGGTGGGTGCGTACTGCTGAAGAGTCCCAAACTAGGACGAAACAGCTGTCCAGTACTCCCTGGTTTTCCAATGGTTCTCTAACTGATGTCAGCTCATGATGAAATCCTGTAACCAATCAAATCCCTACAAACCAACACTTGAAAATCAATGAGATGCTCACTAGCGACTTGCCCTATTCAGGTGGGTAGTCACCTGGGGTTCTAGTGAGAAGTCGTGACCAGTAGGGTGCAGCAGGTCGGGCGTGAGGACAAATACTCGCCGAAGACATTGGCTAGGGGTCGCGCTATGTCGTGAATTGGCAAAAGTTAGAATTCATGGACCATTGGATCGGGTCCCAGTGGCTTAATGGTATACGAGCTCGCCTTGTAACCAGAAGGTCCTGGGTTCGAATCCCGGTGGGTGCGTACTGCTGAAGAGTCCCAAACTAGGACGAAACAGCTGTCCAGTACTCCCTGGTTTTCCAATGGTTCTCTAACTGATGTCAGCTCATGATGAAATCCGGTAGTAGTGTTTATTTTCACAGGACAGGGTTACTACTACATGTCAAACCTTCCCTCTTTACTGGTCTTATTAGCGGCTTAGCGAGGTTAAGGAATGCGTCGGCTGAGGATCTGTCACGGGACCACGTGTGACGTGGTTGGCGAATGTTCTCCTTACGGACCACCCTGCCCTTCTTGAAGTAACTTTACAGGTAATTAAAATAGAAGTTACCTGACACCTCCTAGGCGATAACACACTGCTGCTCAGTATATTTTGTTTGGAGATTGACTTCAACTGTAAAAGAAGTTATTCTGTCTTGTAAACATAAGTGTGAGAAAATGAACTGAACTGCCTTCTGCTGTAACACAACAATCCTTTAAGAACAAACATTTAGAAAACCTTCATAACCTATGCATGAGAAGATGTGACGTCATAACAAAAAATTGAATGAAGTTATCAATAAATGTGACTGCTTCTTATCATCCTGTTCTTTAGACCATATGACACAGGTTTAGTCCATCAGAGAGACTTGATTTAACAAAGCGTTAGGCGAAAATCCAATGACAGCAGGAATCGAACCAATAACACCCTTCGGTACTGAGACATTTCACCACACATACCACCGTGAAAACTTTTTTGAGCTTACAAGAAAATGTGGTATCTAGTTCAGTATATTGTATAAGGATCCGATTATTTAAAGCAGTTAGTTCCCTTTATGAATTTCGACAACACAATAAAAAGACGTAGTGTATCTGAAACGTGTAATCTGCATATTTGCGTAACACATTTCGGACATTCTGATCACTCACATGCTTGCCATACACAGTTATATAGAAGGCAAGAAGGCATAAATCATTACAATATAGATCAAAGTGTGCACAGGTCCGAAATTTGTTGCCCAAAATACATTACACATTTCAGATAAACTCGTCTTCTTATTGTGTTGTCCAGATCCAATTTTTCCTGACACATGCTACTCGAAATCCTTATCAAGATTGTTTTAATCGAAGTATAAAAACTGTTTTACTGAAATCGTATCTCAAAATATCCAAACCCACAGATACACTGTACTAGCAAATAAAAACAGTTACATAAACATCGTTTACGCCAGCCAGTATTACTGAGACGTTTACCGTACGACTCATATCACATTTCTTCGTCAGGTAGGATTCAGCATCCAGTGATGCATATTAATATCGTTTTCTTCACCACTCGAAAGAACTTCCTGTTGTTGAGCAGTTGTCCTATAATCTTCATACACACTATGATGACTGACTGACTGGTTTCAACATAGCATTTTGCACCGATATGCAGCAGTTCGAGTCAGCACACTCCATGCAGCACACAAAGCAAGAGAAGAAAGTGAAAGGAAATGCAAAATAGAGACAGTAAACAGAGATACGAGGCAAAAAGAATAGTAATATCGAAGAACAATATAATTTTATTGGGTATTATAAGTCACAAGGAGTGGATGCATCTGCGCCAGCCATTGAGAACGATTTTGAGCCATATCACCACGAATTGTCTCCAGCCATTGGTGTTTATTGTCCCGAAAACGCCAACCAGGAAGTCTACGCCTACCCACGTGACTGGCTTAAACTAACTGTTGTGGATTTCGTTGATTGGTTTTGGTTTGACCACCACTAACTGTTTTCCGACCTGATCCTATGTCAGCCAGCTAGCATCACCTGTCTAGGAAGCCGATGGCTTGGTATGCATAACACATATCCTAACCATCTCAGTCGATGCAACTTCACAGTCTTGTCGATTGATTTCCCTAGCACTCGACCGAAGCCTAACCTCAATATTGCTTACCCTATTATACTACGTCACAGGGGAGATAGAACTCAGCCACCTTTGATCAAAGCCACCTAGCTGGCATCAATGGCCGTGTCTCACAGCTAGCCATAAAGGAGGACAGAGCGAACTGCTGAGCAGTGCACACGTCCTTTGATCGACAGCCAGCCGGATATCACATCTACGCCAGAGATGGAGTAAACTGGCATATGCGAAACTAGCCTTGTGTATCCGTGCTGAGATTTCGTCAGTGAGAAACCAGCTGGCGCGTTGGCTGATGCAACTTCCCAAATAAGTTAAGTGATGGTCAGCACGCTCTACTGATTATCATCACTGACCTAATTAAAATGTTTTCTTTTATTGATTTTTGATGTCCATTTTTTAATTTAGGAAAGTATTTCAGTCTGTCAGGGTGTTTATCAAAGACTATTCCGCTGGCTTTCATACACCAGTTGATGGATTACCGTTTGTTGATTGGGTAAGAAAGTAAGGACAAATGAAATGCATCTATATAATTAATAATTTCAATGACATTAATTGTAATATTTTACAGTACTGTTCCCTCAGTTCTTAATTCTTCAGTACTGATTTCATCATTCTGTTATTCATTCAAATTTAATTAATGTAAATAATCTTCAAGAATTAGTTTCTAGGGATTGATATTAGATAGAGATTCATGGAAAACCAGCCAGCAGAGAGTACTGGACAGAAATTCTGTCCCAGTTTTGGGACTCATCGGTAGTATGCATCTACTAGATTTCGAACCCAGGACCCGCCGGTTACATGGCAAGCTCATAGACCATCCAACCACTATGATCCAAATCAATGGCCAGCCCATAAATTCTAATATCTACCAGTTTGTGATTTTGGTGTGACTGGCACTAACCAACGTCATCGGTGGAAACTCCATCCTCACTTCCTTGGGTTCCTAGTGGAACATAGGGCTTCAACTACAAGTCTCCACTTCCTTCTGTCTTCTGTTGTACTTTTCACCTGCATCCATGTTAGTCCATACTGTTTCAACTCCTCTTCACACGATCTCCTCCATGTCACCCTTGGACATCCCACTCATCGCTTCCCTTTCGGGTTCCACTCGAGCGTTGGCCTGACGCGCGATGTCACCCAGTGGCCTCCTCAGCGAGTGTCCAATCCATCTCCACTTTCTCCTGCATATTTGTTGGGAGATTGGTTCTTGATTTGTTTGTTTCCATAGTTTCTTGTTGGTGGTCCTTTCCAGACATCTGATCTTGAGTATAGAACGAAGGCAGCTGTTGATAAAGGTCTGCAACAGGCTGTTGGAAATATTCTTTGTGACCCGCCAAGTTTCTGACCTGATTCGTGTAGAAGAACTGACTGACTTGACGTTGGTATTGAAAATCCGAATCATTTTGTTGTTGATGCAGGCTGAGTGACGAAGATTTCCAGATTGGTTTCAGGTTGATGAATGTGTTTCTCGCCTTCCCGATTCTCGATTTGACATCCTCGTCCGTTCCTCCTGTAGTTGAGACAATGCTCTGTAGATAAGTGAATGAATTAACCTCTTTCAAATCCCTCCCGTTGATGGTGATTGGCGCTGGATGTTGCTGCTGCTGCTGTTGTTGTTGGTTGGTTATTTTCATAACCTCCGTCTTGTCGATGTTCACCCGGAGTCCTGTCTTTGCTGCTTCTTCGACCAGTTTGTCGGTTTTCGCTTGTAATTTTTCGATTTTGTGTGACATCAAACATAAATCATCCGCGAAATCCAGGTCTTCTAGCTTATTCACATCGGTCCAGGATATCCCTGTCTTCTCGTTTCCCACTGTCTGACGCATAATCCAGTCCACCACAATTAGGAATATCATTTGTGATAATAAGCACCCTTGTCTGACTCCTGTGTTTACTCCAAACGCTTCGCTGAGTTTTCCGTTGTGGATCACTTGACATGTGCCGTTGTCATACAGCTGTTGAATAAGGTTGATGAATATTTGGGGTACGCTGTATTACTCGAGTAGTTTCCAAATTACTTCGCGGTCAACGCTGTTGTAGGCCTTCTGAAAGTCTATTAAGTTGAGGCAGAGGTTTGATTGCCATTCCATGCTTTGTTCGATGATGATGCGTAGAGTTGCAATTTGGTCAGAACATGATTTGCCTTTCTTGAATCCAACTTGTTCTGGTCGGAATTCTGTATCCAGTGCGTCCTTTATTCTCTACAGGATGAACGGGCATCAGATTAATTTTCAATAACTATTTTGTAGAGATTCCATCCCAAGCAAAATTCTAAGCCGCATCATCCTGGAAAGGATCAAACAAGCCCTGGATGAAAAACTTCGACCAGAACAAGCTGGATTCAGGAGAAACAAGTCATGTATTGATCAAATCGCCACACTACTGATCATCATTGAACAAAGTTTGGAATGGCAGTCACCTCTCTATCTCAACTTCATCGACTTTGAAAAGGCCTTCGACAGCATCGATCAAGAGGTGATTTGGAAACTACTTCGCTACTACGGGGTGCCGCCGACAATTATACATCTCATCCAACAGTTGTATGACAACGCTGCATGCCAAGCAATCCACAACGGGAAGCTAACGGAATCCTTCGAAGTGAAGACAGGAGTAAGACAGGGTTGCCTACTATCGCCAATGATTTTCCTGATTGCAGTAGATTGGATAATGCGACAAACAGCGGGCAATGAGGAAACAGGCATAAAATGGACTCACACAAAGAACTTGGAGGATCTGGACTTCGCCGATGATATATGTCTTATTTCCCACAAACTGGAAGATATGCAAGTGAAAAGTAACAAGTTAGCAGAAGAAGCATCAAAGATAGGACTTCAGGTGAACATAGAGAAAACGGAGGTGATGGAGATTCCTGGGCAACATCACCAACAGCAACAACAACAGACAGCAATCAGCATAAATGGAAGGAACCTGAAAGAAACTACCCCCTTCACCTACCTGGGAAGCATCGTTTCAACTACAGGCCGACGGAGCTGACGAGGATATCAAAGCAAGAATCGGAAAAGCAAGACAAGCTTTCATTACTCTCAAGTCTGTGTGGAGTTCAACAGTATTCAGCGTCAAAAATAAGATCGGGATTTTCAACTCCAATGTGAAGTCAGTACTACTATACGGATCAGAGACTTGGCGTGTCACAAAGAGCACCTCAAACAAGCTACAGACATTCATTAACAGATGTCTTCGCTCAATACTCAAGATCAGATGGCCGGAAAGGATCAGAAACAAAGATCTCTGGGAGCGAACCAACCACGAACCGATTGTGAAACAAATAGGCAGGAAGAAATGGAGATGGATTGGCCACACTCTGAGGAAACCAGCAAGTGACATCACTAGACAAGCCATCGCTGGAGTGGAACCCGAAAGGGAAGCGACGAGTTGGTCGTCCAAGGGTGTTCTGGAGGATATCATGTGAAGAGGAGATGAAAGCATGTGGGCAGACCTGGAGCCAGGTGAAAACTCTAGCAGAGAACCGAACGCAATGGAGACGCATGGCTGAAGCCCTATGTTCCTCTAGGAACTAAAGGAAATAATAATAATATAATAATAATTTTGTAGAGATTCTATCTTTTTCACGGTAGACCATGGATCGATATCAGTTAGAATTTAAACATTCTTAAATCACTGCAGAATGAATCAGCTTTTAACAGAATACAACTTGGAGAATGTCACACGTGATTTCTAAATTCCTTTTGTGATTTCCTCTAAAAACAAATGAAGTATTATGACGGCAAAATGTGATCTGTTTGACATCACAAAAGCTGTCAAGATTGTTTACGATTTGGTTATATTGTTTTTAATCATTAGATTCACATTTCTGATACGTCTAGTTTTGTATTGGTGAGAAGTCTGCACAATTAATTTTCACACTAACTGACTGTGTATATATTTCAGCCATACGCCCTATTGTTTTTCTGATCACCGATACAGAATACATCGAATCTAAGTTTATTGGCGTATTCAGTTTTGAAGAGGGCGTTCTTTTAACGATAGGTACACCACTCAAACAAGTTTCAGGATTTCATCATGAACTGACATCGGTCAGAGGACCATTGGAAAACCACCTGGGAGTACCAGACAGCCGCTTCCTCCATCCTAGTTTAGGATTATTCAACAGTACGCACCCACCGACAAGGTTCCAACCCACAACCCCCTGTTTACGAGGCGGATTTATGATATGGCGGAATCTCCAGCCAATACCATCGGCGAGTATTTATCCTCACCTAAATTACGTTTAAATGCAAGAAGCTAGTCATCTTAGGGCATCAACCTGTTAAAATGAATGAAACATATATCAGTTAGGGAACAGGGAACAGTGGATAGCCGTCTCCTTTATTGGGGCTCTTCAGAAGTACGCAAACCAGAACCTTCAGGTTACTAGGCTAGCCCGTATACCACTTTACTACTGCAACGGAATCCAATGACTTGTCAATTTTAACATCTACCAGTTTGTGATATCTTGCGCGATCACCGGATAGTGTCGTCGGCGAGTATCCGCCCTCACACCGAACTTGGTGGACCTCACTGACCTCATGACTTCCCGCTAAAACTGCAAGTAACTTCACCCTGTTAGTGAGTCGCCAGTAAGCAATTGATTAATTTTCAAGTGTTGATTAGCAGCAATCAAAACTAAACTAACGAAATCCCTGCCAACCAAACTCTTCAAATATGCCTACTGAGTTATTTACTCAAGAACTCTTAATTGGCATAACTTTTTCACATGAATTTAAGCCAGTGATAATTGTAAAAATTCACTTACTTACTCTGTCATCTGTCTTTCGTCAATAAGCAATGCTCTAAGTGTTTTTACAGTATGTAAAACTGCTCACCAATTCTGACGCGTTGACGGAACAAATAAACATGAAAGCCTACCCAAAAACAGTCAAGAGTTTCCACTTAAATACTGGACTGAATAACTGTTAACATGAAGTTAATGTCTAATAGAACTGATTTTCAGAGTTGGGCAGATGATAATTCGACAGATACGCTGACTTTAGCGGTTAAAATAACAAATTTTGCAGCATATACAACCCCTTTTCCTTCCACTTCTCTTAATTACCTGTACAGAAAAGGAAATCCAAACCTAACTTTACACAAAATAACCAACCTGACCGTCTTGATGATATCAGATGCTTGGAGGCAATCGGCAGGAAGCCTTGGACCTAGGTTTCGAGCTAGCTGGCACTCCTCAACAAGGCGTGTCTGCGTATCCGTCTGTAACTGGAAAGGGATTGATGCTAGAAATAGTAGCCAAAATGCACAGTTAACTAGTGAGAAAAGCATATTTCGCCCAAACACAGAGAGAAAGAACATACTAACAGGATGAAAAGAGATCAGTGTTTGTTACTTCGCCGCCTTTCATCAGCTGCCTGCAGCCTATAAAGTGACAAAAGTTATTATAAATGCAGAAATGCATAACATACTTCAAAGAATTATTTCATGTCAGAGGGCGTAGTAATAGAACAAGAGATATGAATGCAAGGCACTTAATAACATGACAACCATAGTTTATATATGCATAACGTCATGGACTGTTTGAGAGAGCGCCAAAGAAATAGAAAATAAAAGTAAGGCTATTACGCAATCAAACAATTAAGTAAGTGGAAGACTAATAGTGAGTTCAGCTCAGAGAGTTGTCATCAGAAACAGTTTTGAGGCTACAAAAAACCTAGAAACAGAGTCCAGATTTCCAGTTACCAGAGTAGTCTGATTTTGACTTAACGCCCCATGTCAATCAAATGCTTAGCGGTTGCACTGTAAACGCTTTGTTAACTTTCAATGTGAAGATTGTTGTGGATATACTCGGAAAATCTAGCAAGTGCTCTCCTTTCAGTCTTTATTGTGTACTTGCTAGTGAAAGTACGTGTGAACTGGTACATACAACTGAAATTGACGTGGATAGCCTGCTTGTCTACTCTGGCCTATACAACTGAACAGTTGGCATCATAAAGGGTAATCAATCCGGTGGCGGAAAATGTCCTCTTCGATGCATCTTTGATTCTTTTCCCTATTCTTGCTGATGTTTTTTACCCCTTCTACGCCAAGCAAATAAAAACCGGTTTCTTCTAAATCGTTATGAAATTCAGTTTGGATGTTTCTTCTCTATCACCTGTCATTACGAACTTGTCGCGATATTAATTTTCCATTAAATTCTTTTTAATAATTATGAGGTCTCCATCAATTACATTTTCTGAGCACAACGCCTTCACTCTTCTCAACAGCATTCCGACCTAACCCCGTTTGTAACCGATAGGGCGAAAACTGATATAATTCAAGTATTGACCCGTCCATGTATCTCCTGTATAGATTTTTGTTCTACGGTCCGTTTAATTCTTCGTTTTATGCTAAGACTGAGAAAGTTGAACTGGTTGTAGCATTCAAAGTCCATTGCTAACCTAATGTGACACGTTTGACTGATACATGGTCCATGTTACTGCAAACAACAAATATATCGTCAACATAGCTGCAGTGATATGTCGTATTCTCTATTTCTGATTTCAGTTGCATCTATTCAGGATATGTTATGAACATATCAGCAAGAATATGGCCCAAAAAGAGAACCAACAGCTGCTCCATCAATTTTCCAATATCGTAGGCTATGGAACTGGAACTGGACACTTTTTGTACAAAGGTGCAATAGTTGTCATAACTCATTCTCATGAAAGAGAAAGCAATTCGAGGTGATGACGCGTGGCTTTCACTCTTTCTTCAATTGTAATGCTCGTAATTAATTAAAAATTGGCATATGATAATAAGGGTGTGCCTGAAATATTCGACAGATCCAGTTCATGAGAAAGTGTAAATGAATCTTCGACACTATGAAGTGTCGACTATTTCGAAATTACTTCCAACTTTTCTGCCAGGCATATAGCCAGTTTATGGAATCGTGGTTTCACCATTAATATTACCGGTTTCAGAAGTACATCTTGTTTGTAGACGTTGGGTAGACCATACACTAGAGCATGCGTAAACCTCGTGGTTTAAGTTCATTATGAGTGTGATTGTCACTTAGCCCTTTCCTAAAACGATTCTCAAGGTCCTTGTTTATTCTGTTATCGAAGGTTGTTGTTGCAATGTTTTTCGACTTAGCTGCCTAGAATGTCATTGTATCACCCAGGAGCATTGTCACTTTAAAAATGTAATCCCTCCGCTTCGTTGTTACCACACAAGAACTCTTGTCTGATCCAAGATGCAATATATAGTACAGCTGTGCGATATCCGACATCGAATTAAATCAATGCTTGATGATTTTCAAGTATTGGTTTTGTAGAGGTTTTGTTTGATTGGTTGGAGGATTTCATCGTGAGCTGACATCAGTTAAATAACCATTGGAAAACCAGCAGGGAGTGCTGGACAGCTGTTCCCTCAGTCCTAGTTTAGGACTCTTCAGTAGATGTTGGAACTCATAGGCCGGCCATTGGAACGGGTCCCAGGGGCTTAATGATCTACGGACTCGCTAGCCTTATAACCAGAAGGTCGTTGGTTCGAACCCTGGCGGTGGGTGTATACTCCTTAATGATTTGTTTGCGTAACAGTTTAAGTTTTAATTACGATTTCTTTCATCCACCTCTCTCGAATTTTCCATGATATTATGTTTCAGTAAATTCATTCCAGTACCACGTCATCTAAGATGGAATATTTTTTGCGAAGAACGTTGTGTTTTTCAGCAATTACAATAAGTTATATCATCTTTATGCTGATAGAAGCTGATGAAAAGGGGTGAAATATAACAAACATGAACATTTTTATCCGAAAAGTTTGAAGTCTTCCAGTAAAGCTTCAGTCATCAATCTCAAGGCATTTTCACCACATCTGAATTTTCTCAATGTAGAAGAATTTCATTCAGTTACTCAATGACGGCTCAGTTATCCTACTTGGTTTTATTGAAACTTGAGAAGCACAGTTTCCTGTTCTCAAATATGATTCCCTGTTTCGTAGCTATCTGACTGGTTCTCAGAAGTATACTTTCAGATTTCTTTACATAACAGACAGAAACTTTTATTTTTTATTGAAATCTGTAATTGTTACCATCATGGGAGTGTTTACTTAAACTAATGGTGCAGAATTAATGGTTGAAACAAATCTTCTGGAAAGTTTTCAGGTTTATGATGATGCTATGAAGACTGATTCCACATCTTTAAGCGATGATTTAAAATGAGGTTCCTAGGGATGGTCAAGAAAATTAATGTTGTACTACAGCGACAACCTTACTATTTACTTGTGATAGTAGTAATAACTTTATCCTGAACAACATTTATACAACATACAGAATTTTCAGTGGAGTTTATTGTGTGGTATTTCCTCTTCGTCTAGGATTTTAAATAAATGATTAATTGCCAGGAGATTGTGTGACACAGTTCTATCTAACCTGAAGTGCAAACCAATCCACTATGATGATATCTCTTCTTTCTCTCCTTCGCGAAATGCACGACATTTGGTTGAATGCTAATTATAAAATGTTCAGGTGTACATTTTATGAACCAAAGACACCACTCAGGAACGGTCACCCCACGTATTGGGATATCCTGCCATCGAGGATAATACTTTTTCTCGCGTTTAGCAGGAACTTGCGAACCAACAAGTTGTGACTGTTTTAAGTACACGCCAGAGTAAAGAAAACCATCAGAGGTCATATTTTACTAGATTTAAACAAACTCAATAAGCGAAACTATATACATCGTATGCTGCAGACTTTTATCAAAAGCTATCTTCTCTCCATACTGAAGATAAAATGGCCAGTCGGCCGGCCAGAAAGAATTAGTAACAAGAAACTCTGACTAACAACAAACCAACAAAGAGTCGACCTCTCAACAAATATGTAGGAGAAAATGGAGATGCAGGCCACTGCTCGAGTGGAATCCAAATGAGAAGCGACGAGTGGGTCGTCCCAGAGTTACACGGAGGAGATGAGAAATTAGGGGCAATCTTTGATCCAGCTGGAGAGAAAGGCAGAAGATATAAGAAAGTGATGTGTTGTTGAAGCCCGATGTTCTACTCGGAACCCAAAGGAATAATAATAATAAATATTCAGTATATTGATGGAGGTTTTCGGTAGGTCAAATCTTAAGCAGGTTACCAAAAGAAAGAAGGGTGCAAGATTGACTCACTATGAAATTTAAAAAATTCCTACGGACTTAGAGTATACACAGAATAATGTTTGATGACTGGACAGCTTATGAACTAGGATTGGTTCTCCTTATGTTAAATAACTGGCATAAAGAGAGTCTTCAAGCATTGATTTTGTAGCGATTTCGTTTGATTGGTTGGAAGATTTAATCATGAGCTGACATCAGTTAGAGAACCATTAGAAATCCTGGGAGTATTGGATAGCTGTCTACTCGTTCTAGTTTGAGACTCTTCGGTAGCACAAACCCACAGGAGTTGGAACCCAGGACCCTCTGGTTACAAGGCTAGTGAGCTCGTAGACCATTAAGCCGCTAGGACCGGATCCGATGGCCAGTCCTCTGCCAATTCTCTAACTGATGCCACCTCATGATGTAATCCTCCAACCAATAAAAATAGTTAATCATTAATTTTAAAACTCACTTAACAGATTATAATACTGATCTGATTTTCACCTAAATACTTTTTAACAAAAAACAGTATATTCACATTAAATTTAACTTTTAACACTTTCATTAACAGTTTCACATGTTCTCCTGTTCTCCTGTTCTGCTTTTTTCTGTAGACAAAACGCAAGATGGAACATGAAAGAAATCACCGGTTAACTGAAACAGTCAAACAGTACAACTGGTCAATTATACCAAGTCATCAAATCACATGGACTAGATTGAATCACTTTCATGCTTATGCAAGATGTTCATGTCATTTTTATCATGTTGAGGGGAAAACTTTTCATTCTTCTATAGAAAATAAAAATATAACAATTTATGAAATCATTGGACAAATACACTGGATTGTATCGAGGATTACTGAGATAACAATCTTACAAAATGCTCCTTAAGACCATTGTAAATAGTATTTTTAAAGCAAGAGAAGCAACTCTTTTGTACTGATTTGCCTTTTGATTTATGCATTATGAAGACCAAATTGTTTCAAGAAAGATACGACAAACTGATTTTGGTACTATGTATTGTTGGTTTTAAAAGTCTATTTGACTTGAAACATGAATGTAATCATCGCACTTAAGATCTAGAGCATTAAACTCGTTCAGAGTAATATAAAACACAATGATTTTGACCAAGAGGAATATATGGTTATGATTTGTGGTCTTGTTAAGCTTGCGATTAAGTCAGTGGAATTCTTCAACCGCAGACTGTCAGTGTTTGACGAAACAATCTCAGCATGAATACAGAGGGCTAGTTTCGCATATGCCAGTTTACGCCGTCTCTGGCGTAGACGTGATATCCGACTATCGACCAAAAGGCGTGTGTACTGCTCAACAGTCGGCTCCGTCCTCCTTCATGGCTGTGAGACTTAGCCATTGAGAGTGGAAGACATGAAGAGATTAGCTGTCTTCGATCATAGGTGTCTGCGTTCTATCTCCCGCGTGAAGTGGTATGATAAGGTGAGCAATATTGAGGTCAGGCGCCGAGTGCTAAGTAAGGAGGGGAAATCAATCTACGAGACTGTGAAATTACATCGACTGAGATGGTTAGGACATGTGTTCCGCATGCCTAGCCTAGTTATCGCCCTCCTCGACGGGCAATGTTAGCTGATATAGGGTCAGACTGGAAAAGAGCTAGCGGCGGTCAAATGAAAACATGGCACCAGTCAATGAAATCCACAACAGTTAGTCTAAGCCACGTAGGAAGGTGTAGACTTCCTGGTTGGGGTCCTCGGGACGGAAAAAACCAATGAAGGTTGGAAACAATTGGTGACATGGCTCAAAATCGTTCTCAGTGATGCAGATGCATCCACTCCTTGTGACTCATGATTTCCAATGAAACTGTTTTGTTCTTCGTTATTACTATTCCTTTATCTCACACCTCTGTTTACTGTCTATATTATGCATTTCTGCTACTTTCTTCTCTTGCTTTGTGTGCTACATGGAGTGTGGCGACTTGAACTGCCGCACATATGTACAAAGTTCTATGTCTAAAATCGACCGTTTGACGAAACTTCTGGAAAGCTAGGAAACTTGAGCAAAACTACTGTCATCCTTTCTAATAAAATTTTATTCTTCTCACTTGCAGGTTTACGTATATGTAAACTAAGCTAAACTCTGCATCCTCTTCTTTTCCACAGGTTAAAAACTCAGGTTAACGTAACAGGTTATCCTCGATTTTTGAATTATTCTCACATTAAATTCAAATGATAGCGTGCTAGTAAAGCATGAACAAGCAAGGTCAGCTGAGTAGAGTTTCTTATGAAAACCTCATAATTCGACAAACAGAATACTGAGTCTTAATTCATAAGTCAATCTGAGGTGACTCTTCAGAGTGATATTAGCGTAACGACGACTGGTTTCAACTCAACAGACGCCACATGAATCAAATGAATGTCCATAACACTAACACCTTAAATTTATGCTGCTTTATATATATGTCTATATATAAAGCAACAAAAAACTATGGTAACAAACCAACTGAGAGCCGATAGCTCAACAAATATGTAGGAGAAAGTGGACATGGATCGGCCGTGCATCAAGGAGGCCACCTAATAAAATCGCACGCAATGCAGGTCATTACTCAAGTGGAATCCGAATGGGACGCGACGAGCGGGTTGTCAGTGTGAGGGGGACATGGATCTGGACTTCGCCGATGATATATGTCTGATTTCTCACAAACTGGAAGATATGCAAGCGAAAATCAACAAGTTAGCAGAAGAAGCATCAAAGATATGAAGGAATTCAGGCGAACATAGAGAAAACGGAGGTGATGTAGATTCCTGATCAACAGCAACAGCAACAACAACAGACAACAATCAGCATAAGTGGAAGCAACCTGAAAGAAACAACCTCCTTTACCTGCCTGGGAAGCATCGTTTCAACTACAGGCGGACAGAATTGACGAGGATATCAAAGCAAGAATCGGAAAAGCAAGACAAGCTTTCATTACTCTCAAGTCTGTGTAGAGGTCAACAACACTCAGCATCAAAAATAAGATCAGGATTTTCAACTCCAATGTGAAGTCAGTGACACTTACTGTACGGATCAGAGACTTGCACTGTGTGTCATAAAGAGCATCTCGAACAAACTACAGACCTTCATTAACAGTTGTCTTCGCTCAATACTCAATATCAGATGGCCAGAAAAGATCAGCAACAGTAAGGGGTCTGTGGGAGCGAACGAATCCAGCAGGAACCGATTGTGAAACAAATAGACAGGAAGAAATGGAGATGGATTGGCCATACTCTTAGGAAACCATCAAGTGACATCACTAGACAAGCCATCGAGTGGAACCCGATAAGGAATCGGCGAGTTGGTCGTCAGTGCGAGGGTGGGTGACTTGGAGGAGGTCATGTGAAGAGGAGATGAAAATGTGTGGGCAGATATGGAGCCAGGTGAAGACTCTAGCAGAGAATCGAACACAATGGAGACGCATGGCTGAAGCCCTATGTTCCTCTAGGAACTAAAGGAAACAATAATAATAATAATGGACCAAGCTGGTTGAAGAGGACAACAGGAAACAGAAGTAAGTGGAGATGTGTTGTTGAAGCCCTATGTTCCACTCGGAACACAAGGGAATAATAATAACTATATATATATATTCCTTTACGTTCCCAGTAGAACATAGGACTTCAAACTAGAGCTTTGAAGTTTCAGTAGCAAAGATGTTTCTTCTGCGGGTCGGAATTGCTAACCCCATGCCCAACCTTCCGTCTTTACCGGCCTTATTATCGGCTCAGCAAGGTAAAGGAGTGCATCGGCCGAGGATCGAAACCCGGACGAGCTAAGCCCCCGACGAACCATACATATAAAACTGGTAAAGTCTAAAATTGGTCGCATCTTTTGATAAAAGCCAATTGTCTTATTATTAGAAAGTCAATAATTGAAATCAGCTTTCTTTTTACGAAATAAAAACGTATCACTTTTTAATCATTTTAGTTTGTTTTCGATGTCATCATCAAGTAATGGAAAACAGTAAAGCAAACATTTTAAAAACAATTTTCAAGAACCAAATCATCAACTGAATGATGATTGATGAAATGATCATCCTTTATGATGTGAACATGAGTACAACACTTAAAAGCACACAGGCACACACGTGCACACACACACATAGACACAGACAAAACACACAGATATGTATATGTGCTATACCTAAAGGTGTTAGCAGCTGTGAAGCAAATTCCACGCTGATTCACCGTATTCCTGCAGCCTATGTTACTTATGAATATAATATAAGAGATAATGGAATAAGAATAAAGGGGCAAGGGGTTGGGTTGGGGGGCGCGGAGTGGAGCGGTGTGGTGTGTTGTGGGGAAACGGGATAGAGTTAACAATTTTAAAACACAATGAAGGCAAGTGTAGATATAATAATAATGAGATAATATAATGAACTATTGTTGTATATCTCCCCTTCTGAGTAGTCAAGTTTGTTCATGTATTATTTTTTAGGCAAGATAGAAGAAATGTTTTTAAAGGGAAGTAAACAAGGAGAATAGGTTGTGAGTAGTAGTCAGAAATAATGACACTGAAACATATTTTATAATAGGCAAGTGAAAAGGCTTTGTCTATTTGCCATGTATAATGAGGTATGCGTATTAGGAAGGGAAGAAAGAAAGAGAAGAGAAGAGAAGAAGAAATACAAGATTATACATGATGTACACATAAAATAAGAATACGGAATGACAATAATCTTAAATGAATTAATTTGTTTGTATGACATTGATATCTGGCTGTATGTATCAAAGAGAACTGCTCAGACACATTCAGACAGAAATTCAAGCAATTGTATTTGGACTTCATTGAACTCCCATTTTTGATGTACATCAATGTGTGAATTTAACATATATAAGCTCATCGTTTTAGTATAATTATTATTATTCATAGAGGGCATTCTCAACGTGCAAAGTGTACTTCGTGCAACAATAAATAGTTACGAAGTTCATCCGGTGTAATTACTCCATTCCCTAAAGAGAAAACAATGGGAATAAAAAAGGAAAATATAATTTAAAATATTACGTAATACAGTGAGATAACAGCTTTGGAATAAACGCAATATTTAATGCTCTTAATTAAAACTTATACATGAGAATTAAAGTTGCGGTAACACAAAGATTGTAGTACACTACGAACTACTAGAAATCGGGTCAGTGGTTGACAGAATTGTATTAGTTGGAGGATTTTATCATGAGCTGACATCAGTAGGAGAACCATTGGAGATTCTGGGAGTATCAGGCAACCAGCTGATTCGTCGGCCACGTTCGGGACTCCACTTCAGCAGTACGCACCCACCGAAAGGATTCCAATACACGACCTTCTGGTTACAACGCTAGCGAGCTCGTAGACCATTAAACGACTAGGACTCGATCCAATGACTGGCCCGTGAATTCTAAATTCTGCCAATTCATGACATAGTGCGACCAATTCACAATGTATTCTTCGATGAGTAACTGTCCTCACCTTCAACCTGCTGTATCCTACTGGTCACGGCTTCCAGCTAGAACCCCAGGTAACTGTTTGAATAGGGCCAATCACCAGTGAGCATCAGATCAAATGGCAGGAGTTAGGATTCATGAGTCGGTCATGGGATTTGGTCCCAGTGGCTTAATGGTCTACGAGCTCGCTGTCCTTGTAACCGGAAGGTCGTGGATCAGAACCCTGTCGGCGGGTGTGTACTGATGAGGATTCCCAAACTAGGCGGACGAAACAGCTGGCTGTCCAGTACTCCTAGTTGGTTTTCCAATGGTTCTCGAACTGATGTCAGCTCATTATGAAATCCTGTAACCAATCAAACAAAATCTCTGTAAAGCCAATACTTGAAAACTCTTTATCTCTTAAGGAATAAAATGAACCTGTGTTGTATATAGACTTATGTTTCATGATACAACACTGATTCTTGGATTGCTCCATTTCGTAGGTGCTTAGAAGTGTACTAGTCTAAAGAGTAATATACTAGATGGGTATATTTTCTCGACACCATATCCCCACACATATAGATTTAAACATAATCGCCAAACCTATTCAATCGGATGAATCACATTTAGGAATTAAATACCATTTCTTATTTTATTAAGCCACACTTTAGAATACGTTTCCTTCAATTAAACAAAGAATTATAATAGAATGGCAATGGGATTACCAGCATCTCTAATTGTAGCAAATCTTCATTATATGAGAGCTCTGGAAAGAAAATCACTGGTAAGTTTTATTTGTTATCCTAGAATATGGTACAGATATGTAGATGACACATTTATCATTATTAAGAAAGCTGAAAAAGAAAACTTTCTAATACAGATTAACTTAATCTCAAAATTCACAGAGTGTACTAATAAAGTAGAATCGGCTGAGGGAACTCTAAACTTTCCGAACTGTCTTATCTCAAAAGGTAAATTGACGAGAAACTAAAGTTTACCATATACAAAAAGCCGACACATTCCAACAAGTATTTGAATTTCCAATCAGATCATCCAATAGGAATGAAAGTTTCAGTAGCTTTAAATCTCGTTAACAGAGCTAGAAGCATTATAACAGATAATGATGATATGGAGAACGAGATATCCAATATAGAACAGATTCTGATTGGAAATGGTTATCATGAAAAGCTACTAGATAATATTATAAATAAAAAGGAGCAGAAAGGAAAACGGGAAAAAGTTGAAAAATCTTGGGTGTTGACAATAGCCATTTCATATCGAAAGGACACAGCTGAACAACTTCAAAGACTCCTTTGCTTCATATAATGTTAAAGTCTATTTCAAGCCCTCTAATTCTCTAGAGAAAGCTCTGGTGAATGTCAAAGATATGCTCCGCAAAATGACACAAAACAACTGTGTCTATAGGGTGAAGTGCTCAGAATGTGAAGCTTGCCATATAGAGGAGAATAGTAAACAGGTGAAAGTCAGAGTGAATGAACAGTGACTGTGCACGAAACGTCAACTCAGATATGAAGTAGAATAAAAGGAAAGTCTAGAAAAAAGATCAGCTATAGCAAAGCATGCTATAGACAGCGGTCATAAGATTGATTTCGACAGTATCGGAATTCTAGGAGGAGGCTTTCATTCACATAAAGAAAGGCTGACCTGACTCAGCGCTCAAATTGTTCCAGAAAATTCGTAACATCTATTGTCTGGAAACCGATAAAAATTATAATGGAGTTTGAAAATTTGACAGAAACATGCTAAGCCAGAGGCGTTCATCTTCGAGTGCGCAAGAATACCGACGTACGTGGTATACAAGTGACTAATACTCGCCTAAAATTTTGTTTTACCAATAACTAAGCTCAGAAGGCAACTCAAACAGATATGCTTATCGTCACAATAAACCTAAAAGTAATACATTCTGTCTGTAATACAAAAGTATAATTGATTTCATTATATTTTTAGAAAGTGATGTAAATTTCTACGCTTCTCAGTCCTTTTTTCAGTAATACAAAATGCATTTAAAAATAGAAAGATTTATAATTTTGAATGTTTAACCTTATTACTAATGAGTAAAAAAATACTTGGAATAGAAAACTGTGAGAGAATAATGTATCGGTTTTAGCATTCTGTGAAAATTTTGCGTGGTTAAATATTAAACTAACCAGTGAACTGGTAGAATATTAGAAACACAGAAATACAAAAGAACTTCCGTTTATTATTATCAGTAGTAGAAACGTTGATATCATGTCAGTACTGTCAGCATATACAGATTCAGAGAAATACACAGAATTTGTGGAGATAATTCGTGCCGACAATTTAGGTTGAAGTCTTCAACGTCAGAAACAAATGAAGTAGGCTTCTTAAATCCCCATTATATCTTTTATTATTATTATTCCATCTTCCGATCTTACTTGGACATCTCATATCCTAATGATTTCTAAGAAAGTGTTCTGTCTTACCTACTGCATTAAGAAACTTAGACAACCTAGAATCACCCAACCTCTACTTTCACAATTAGTCAACTCTTGTATCTTACCTATTCTACTTTGCTGCTCCCCGTTAGTCTTTCCTGGTCTACTGAAAAAGGACTATAACATCCTGAGAAGGATGTTGAAGGTAGTCAGTAGGACTAGTGGTGTAAAACTCTGTCAGCTCGTCACTACATTAGTTGATAGGCATCTGAATACATGAGAAAAATGGTCAAAAACCATACTCTCCTACCCCCAACACCCCCTCTATTCCCAACTCTCTCCTTGTATCTCATCAAGCAGAACCAGAAATCAGTATAAAATAATATATGCTCGTACAACCAAGTATAGGAACTCAATGATACCATACTTGGCCCGTGTTCTAAGCAACAGAGACAATGTTAAGCGTGAAACCTATGACTTGCTTTGTTATTAACAACATAATTTTAGGCTCTTTTATTTTTCTCTTATTTTGTATTCTATAGTGAACTCCTTCTCAAACATACTTAGCTACCTAAATTATTAACATTGGCTTCCTTTTTTGTACTTTACTATATTCCTTCTATTGTGTATCCGCTGGTTCCGACTATATTAGCACTATGAGTATTACAAAATTGTCCTGTCCTTAACCATCATGTAATTATTAGTTTTGTGGTTGTTTTTTCTTATTTTCTATACTTTTCGGCAATATTAAACTGACAATCATTGGTTGTGAACGCCATAATCACCACCTTAAAAAAAATTTTTGTATTATTCAGGATTACTCACACTACCACTACAAACACTGCATTAGACCTGACAATACAAAACAAAACAACAACCCAGAAATATTATTTTATGATTGTTTACAGTTGTTTCAACCAAATAAACTGACCATCTTGGCGATAAACATTCTTAAATATCATTTCATAACTTCTATAGCTTTACTGTCACCATGCATAACCATATCATAGCTTCCACTACCCAATACTGAGTTACTGTTATATGATGTTTATTTTCCTTTCTACTTCTTGGTACTTTTTCGCATTTATAATTATTTAGTGTTTATCCTGTTCTTTTTGCTGTTGGTGTCTTTAGATTTATTTTTTTGCTTGTTTAATACTCCTTTTAAATGTTTGTAAAATTAGATGCAAATATTGTAGATATGTGCTGAAAAATTCCACACTGTACCACTAGTACTGTTTCTGGAATAAAGCAAATTATTATTATTATAGATAAGATTTTATTTTGATAAATCACACAATGTTGTAAAGTAATATTATTAACTGATGACCAAGTTTCGAGCACAATTTATTACTGCTCATAATCATATCAACGCACCAGTCACACAACTTTCTTGCTTCATTTATATACATCAGTAAAATTTTAAAATACTTGCATATTTTACATGATGTCAGTTGACAGGAGGTTACACAATTAGTGAACAGTGCTCAGAAAATTGCGCTTATATAGTTTTTACACAGGCAATTCAAGCTTAAACAAAGTAAATGTATGCATACCATGGCAAAGGAGTTACGTAATACAGACGAGAGATGCGTAGGATGATAACTGACTAATAAATTGGGTAACAGTGTAATGAGTTCAACTCAAATCATAGAAACAAGAGATAAGTAGAATTACACTATATCAAAGGGGGATGAGATTAAAGCCAAAGACTGCGTAATCAAATGAAAGAGAGAATAAGGATATTTAGTTATCAGGTTAATGAAATACTGATGACTGCTTTTTTCTCAATACATAAATCGGGTTTCAGGCTTTTGATATAGATTGCCTCGGCAAACTTGAGAAGAACTGAACTTTTTTTTCTATTGCTAATCTTAATGGATTTTGCAATTTCTACCTCACGACCTAAACAAACTGGTTGGCTCTCACGAGGTATGCAACATAGACGGCACTGAAATAGAAACGAAACCGGAAATTAAATACCCAGGCGTCATTCTATCTGCTGATCTCTCCTGGTCGTCTCATATCTTGGCAATTTCTAAGAAAATCTTCCGTCTTACCTTCTACATCGAGAAGTTAAAACATTGTGATATTCGTTGATTCTCGCATTCTGCCTACTATTCTCTATTGTTCCCA